CGAATATTGTCAGTTGTGGGAAGCAGCAGCAGTGAGTGCTAATTCAGATACCCAGATAAGCGAGCCTGTATGTGCGCATTAGCTGTTGGAATTTTTGTTTGCTCGTTGATTAAAACAGGTTTTCAAGATTCAAGCACAAATGGCCGGACGTTCCAGTTCAGAGAATACTTTAAGGAATATGAAGTGGAATAGAAAAGAAGGGCACAGAAGCCCAGCTAAAATTGGTCGTTCCAAACAGAATCGACGGGGAGGTCAAAGTTGTGAAGTGGTAAATTTACGGCCGTAGATAGACCGAAGCATACCTTGTAAAGTAAGGGACTGTGCAAACAAAAGGAAATCCAACACAGCTGAATTTCATATGTGTTAGGCCCGTTACGTGGTCCTTGACTGCAGCAGCAGTAGACAGAGGAGAAACACCAGCAGTTTATTCTTCCGATAAACACTTCACTCCAGAGAAAACGCCGAATAGTATGACGCGGTCAAACGATAAGCCGGGGCACCGCACAAACTGTGCAACAGAATAACAACGACAGACGGGCGGGCGAGACGCTTGCAGCGTTGAACGGTCGAATTAGACGGCGCTGTTGACTGTCGATTTCGTTCCAAACTAACTAATTGAGGGTTTGGATCAAGGAGGGGATTCATATAGGGAAGATTAATGGAGGGAAAAGGAGAGCAAGTTAGTTAATGAGTAGGAAGGTAGATAGTATAGAAACATTTGAAATTTGTTGGAATTGTTAGAAGTTAGTAAGACGGAGGAAGTGGGTCGAATTATTAGTAATTAGTGGGAGGAGGGAAATGGTGTAATTATAGGGTTACATGTGTTTTAAGGCTGGAAGGAGTGAATTTGATAGTGAGTAGTGCTGGGAAGGTAGTTGGCTAGTAAATGTGCTAAAAATCCTTTGACAGGTTGAATAACCATGTACCAGGGATATTCACGATGGTCTGTCTTTGTCTCATCCTTTAGCTGTAAACACAGACAGCGTAAAGTGTGGTTAGGAGTGTGAATCAAGCAGCTTTTCTGTGGACATTTTGCTACAGTTAAAGACTAAATGTTGGTTGGATGTGATGATCGTTGTGGCGGGAAGCTCGCCTGGAAGCATTTATGAGAGATTAAGAAAGCAGTGAGCATTTAATGTTGGCCAAGCGGCCTAACTATAGATGGTAGGGACTATCGAAATGTGGGAGAAGAAGAGTCCGGCCAACCCCCTGGGGTCAGTGGATGAGTGAGAGGACGTTGACGAGAAGAATCGAGTTGAAGGACTGACGATGTGAGAAGGGCACGTAGTTGGAATCGTATACGTGATGAAGTGCACAACGAAAACCAAGGACCAGTCCCAGAGTGAAGGAAATAAGGGTTTATATGGAGCCTAAAAGATTTACCCTCCCTCCCTTCTTGCCCCCCAACTCCGAAAGAAGAGAAGGAATGTTTTTCCTTTCCGGTGATGAAGACCCAAAAAGCGTCAGACAGGCGAATTAGAAAAAGTTGTTGATTGAGAAAAGGAGGACTGGGCTACTGTGATGAGTCATGAAGAAGAGAAAACGAATGTAACATAAAAACTTTATAATATATTTGTATCAATTTATAAAAGTAATTAGAAGTAAGGACAGAACAGATATAGGATTAGAATTTTTTGTAAATTGGAATTGCTGCAAAAGAACAGTGGGAATCTTCGGAAGAACTGTACTTAAGCCTTAGTCAAATTCTTCAAAAATTTCCTCATTCCCTTTAACCAGTGGTACATTTGCGTGCTAACGATGTTTTTTTTTTTTGTCTTCTTTGAACATATTTCAAATCTCAGCGATTATCCCGGCAAAAGCATTTCGCAAGGTCGTGCTCGTTTTGGCGGACTCTGGATGTATGCTTTAGCAGTCAGCACCTCATCTTGAACGTTGCCAGTCTCAGGCCACGATGAGATAGATATCGTACCGGCTAGGAACAGTTCTGCTTTCTCGCAAAATCGGTTGTCGGTCGCAAAATATACATAAAAATTTTGCCGCAAACATATTTAGTGTTTTTGTTTGAAGAGTGGGAAAAGTTGATATTTGCTTAGCAGCAGCAGGAGGGGACAATTCATCCGTATATAGTTATATTTCAGCTCAAGTACAAGTTGGGAATATACTTCCCCTTGCTGAATTGCCGGAAGGTACGACGGTTTGCAATTTGGAAGAGAAAACTGGTGATCGTGGCCGCCTGGCGCGCACATCAGGTTGGTCTGAATTCATTTCTGTGTTTGCACACATACTTCTAAATTTACTAATCACCCAGTCCTGATCTTTGGTCTGGGAAAGTGAAAGCAGTGTCCCCGTAATTGCATTTTGCAATAAAAACCAAAAAAATGTTACGTTTTATTGTGTTGTGCTTGGTTGGAGCTTTAAAAAATATTGCCTTTTAATACATGCTAAATGGGAAACGCTTAAATACGGCACGTGAAATTAATAAATATTGAAATGTGACTAGACCCAGGGCAGGGGCTGCGTAAAGCTAGGGTAAATAAATGGCAACGCGCATCATGCGTTTTGTGCAATTCAGCCCATCGAACGATTGCCTGTTAATGACTTTTACTGCTTTGTCTTTAGTCTATGCAAAAATAGTTCAAACATTGGAAAACAGTTCAAAATTTCACGCATCAGCGCATGAAAGCTGAATTCGAAACCTTGAAGGATGAACATCTTCCCGCGATCCAAAATTTTCACGAGGCCGTAGGTGGTAACCGAGAGCGCGAGAACGCTGAATTTGAATGGGCAAGTTTGAGCGTGGGCAGGGGGTCATTACCCTAAAACTTCAGCCTCCTAGACTCCGTGGTTACCAAA